ATATATATATATATATATATATATATATCGTCATGCCTGGTGAAAAAATAATACGCGACAAAGAAGTCGTGTTTCACATGATGGGATGATATATATATATTACCGCTGCATCCAGGGCCAGCACCGCGCCTGCGAAATGGGGATGTGTCGCCTGGCCCCGCAATGGAGAACTAGTCAAAAAGTTATAATTATTATCTCAACAGCCCTCCTCATTGATATATATTTATGAAATCCCGCCTCATATATATATATTTCCGTAGATATCAACGTACCGCAACGCATCAGTGGACACAACGGCCAAGCCCTGACGGAGTGACAATGTGTCGTGGATGGTCACCGCACCTCCTACCATAATACATATTCATCTATAATACATATATATTATATATCCATCAAGTCTTGACCATTCCTTCATATCAACATCAGCAGTACATAGTCCAAACCAAGTCGGTCACTGCAGTTTGTCCAGTAGGCATAATATATATATATTATATATTTCCAAATAGATCGAATACGACAACTATACCTTGGACATGCAGCCCTCCTGATTGGATGGTGAGACCCCCAGATTCGATCGTTTGTCCTCCAGCTTGAATCTGAAGGCCGCCTTTTTTAATATGTAAACCTCCGTCGTGGATCGTCGTCGCTCCTGACGCTGCCACGTCAAACAGTGGCGTCTACATACCATCGTCAAAACCAATAATATTTAATATATATATATTCCAAAGGTGGCCGATATGCGGATATAATAGAGACAAAACCCAGATCGTACACACCACAAAACTAGTAATATCTCTAATTGTATATATTATTATTAATAATATCTTAACGACCCCGTCGAACTAACATGACACGATGTCATATGTTCGATACGAATTCAATACACAAATGTCCAAACCTCCCACAAAAAATATATATTGAGTGTTATTTCTCAAATATATATCTAGATTCGATTTTTTAATTTTTAACGAAAAAAGTATATATTCAACAATGCAAACAAAAAACCAACTCTGTTTAACTGGTGTATACTGTATATTCTATGATCAACGCCACCGTATCCAACACCCATACATCATCCGAATATATACACACATATATATACATACATATATATATAAAAATATTTTAATAGAATAAATAAATATTATTTTTTTTTATAAAATCTATATATATATATATGTGTGTAGGGATGATATATATATATATTTATGAAGGGATGATATATATAGATAGACATATCATTCCCCACACCGTGACACCCACATATTACACAACACTACACGATTCCTGAAACATTATATAAAAATCCCTTTTAATAGGACTTACATGATTCTCTGCATGTCGACAGGTCAAGCAGGCCGAGGCGGCGTCTGTGACAGAGAGCGCGACCAAAGAAGTCAACTTGCCCACTGTCACAGATCCAAGGTCTTCAGAATGGATGGCTGTGGTGCCCCGCACTGTTACCCCCCCCGCCAGCGTCGTGTGGTTGGCATGCAATACATTGCCTTGGATGGTCACGGGGCCGTTCAAGTGACTCGAGTGAGCCACCTCCAAGCGGTGTCCAACTGCCACGTCACGACCGACATTCAGGTCATTCTTGATATTTGTATGGCCGTCGCCGGTCACTTGAAACACCGTTGCATTGGCCACACACATTCGAATCAAGTCACTGGCCGATGTGGACCCGACGTTGATATGGAGCAGGGGAGGAGGGGGATGTGTCGAGTGACCCGGGTGACTTGAGTGACTCAATATTAACCTAGACTCGACCAGGTTGACGTTGGCCTGGGTCACTTGAACGCCGCCTCCACTGACATGAACATGAGAGGCTAATACAGATGGAACGGCCCAAGAAGCATCGGCGCCATGCAGCGCCGCCTGCCCAAGTCCATTCACAGTAAGCATAGGAATTCCCTGGACTTCAGCGTGAATGATATCAAACGAAGGGGATGGCGCTCGATCAGCTGATAAATGGAGCACATGCCCAGAGAAAAACGGGCCCAATGCTGCCCCTTCGAGCATGTTGCCTATAGATAGATAAATCGATCAGAAAAAAAAAAAAAAAAAATATATATATATATATATATGCTATAGTTGTCGTTCGTTTCAATGGAGGGAATGGATGGAATCGCAGCAAGATGAAGAGAAGTGTACGGGAGATGAAATGATTTCGACAGGGGTGCACACTAGTTTATATATATATAAAGTGATTTACATATATATATTATATATATATATATTATATATATATATATTATATATATATATATTATATATATATATATGATAACAAATACGGAACGGAACGTTCAAATATATATTTGTGCGGGTTTCGTCGTAAACGTACAGAAGAAAGATGGAGCCAATCAGATTCCAGGAAACCATATTCAACATAGAATTAGTGTGAGAACTGCAATTATATAATTAGTGTGAGACTTCAATTAGTGTGATACCAATCGCACATCTTTGTCTATGCGACAATACACTCATCAACACCAAAGTTTCAACTTTTGACAATATATATATATATATTCATGATTTGATATATATATTATATATTATGTACGTGGCGTCATGAAATATATATATATATATTATACCACTTCATGCCGGATACAGTATAACGTTACCCATCAAACCATGTGGATAATAATACATGGCATCCAACACAAGCAATAAACGTACCAGCGTCGACGTTGGAGCCACAGTGTACGCCATGATAACCAGGTTCACATGCACATAACCCCGACACGGCATTGCACAGCCCATGGTTGGAGCATGGAAGGTACGCCTTGATATTCGCATCGGTCAAGCTCGTGAAGCGGCAGGCAGAGGGCGGATCGCATGAAAAGTCGCTGGCTGATGGGTTGCCGGCGTGGTGGAAGAGGTTGTTCATGACGGGGTAGACGGGGAATGAATGCAACGTGAGGTCGAATTCGGCTACAGGAAGGGACGACGATGAAGCATCGGCGGACACGGCCGTCGAAGCGCACGACTAGGAAAATGACCCCATGGTGAGAGGGGGGAGAGGTGGAGTAGGTAGACGTACAAGATCCCCGAGGTTGCGGAAGCGACGAAAGACTTGCGCGCACACGTCAGCGGTGAGGTGCGTGGCGCCGCCGGCCGCGGCGTCCAATTCCACCACGTGGCCGTGGAATTGAACTAATATCGAGGAAGATGGAGGGAGATGCAGGATGGACACCCGGAGCTTCTTCTCCTGGAGAGCGTCGCTCGTGACGGGGTCAAACCCGTGCGGGCACATCTCTACATTCTCAGGGTGAGCAAGGCTTTTCTAGCAGGGACAACGTACTCTGCGCGCAATCAAAACCGGTGTAGCCCCACTGGCAGTTGCAGATGTACTCGCCATGGCGGTTGATCATGCAGCTGCCGTGCAAGCTGCATTGGTTGGGTGACCCAGGACAGCGTTTCCCTGGCTCCGTCACCGCGGCCACCACCGCCATCGCTACGAGGATGCTCCACATGTTGAAATGACGGAAACGCTGCGATCTTTTGGGTATCCGGATAAAGTGATTTTAAAGTTATACGTACATTAATACTTTTTGGGATCTATTCCGTTAGTACGATTGGATTGGTAGAAATTATATATACTCAAATATCGTAACTGGCTCAAAAGTTACTCGGACGCCTCCAAAATTTCACAACCTCCAAATGTCCATTCCCCGCGGCGGATACCGCTGTACAATAGGCGACCTGTCCCACGAAATTCGCTTCTGTATTCGTGTAGATAGCGAACAACGTGAACGTGGCCTTGCTCGGCAGCCACACTCTTGGCCCAAACTGTGCATCCTTCGTGGCCTACGCCAGCATGAAGATACTCTAGGACGTCTATGTGACCATTCCAACCCGCCAAGTCCAGCAATGCGCGCAATAAGTCGACGGGTATCAAGCTCAACATTGGAAGGCTTCCGTAGAAGATAGCCTCGACAATGCAAGGTTTCGCAGGCGCGGCATACAAGCAAACAACTTGAGCACCCGAGCTGTACCATTGGCCTCGACCCACGCTATGATGAGGTTGTGAAGGGAATCCTGACACACGGAGACCTGAACCAATACGCCGGAGACTTTTTCCGAGCGTTTTCAACGGTTTTGCCAAAGCCGCGAATGGACGCATGCCAAGGAGGATGCCATGCTGATACGCAGTGATAGCTTCCAGAAGGTTGGGGGTGAAGAGGACTGCTGACGTCGGCGGCACCCATGACGATGCATTCTTCAGCGAGGTCCAACATACGGATAACCAGTTTTGCGGATAATTTTGTCCGGATACGCATTCACTACGCGAAAATACACCTGGCTACTTCCGAGTCAAATGTCTATTTCACGAATGTCAAATGTCGATATCATCGCCACCCTGTGTTCATTCAAAGCTTATGCATACGTATGAACACACAGGCTATTAAATCATACAACTTTAGGCTGGCATAGGAGGGATGGTATCATTACCAATCAAATCTTGCCTCACTATATCACGTCACTCATGTCGTTAACAGTCGTCGCCCTTGTACAGTTCTTGAATACACGTAACGTTACAGTAATGCATGGATCGTTCCGTATTACTTGAACACTTGAACAAAAAATTCAGGAATTAATATTTCAAAATTATTATAAAAAAATTCTTGTAAAGTCGAGTTATATTCGTCTATTTTATTTTATTTAATATATTGTAGATTAATTTTCTTTACTTTTTTTAAGTGAAACAGGTCCAGGTATACTAAACTGGCTATAACCCAGGCCTTTGATCTCAATTGTGTCACATCGCTCCTTCACCCCCCTTGGAATCACCCCCCTTGGAATCACCCCCTTAGGGCCATTTCGACTTGCGTTGTACGCTTTTCTCGTTTTGCTTGTTCGTAGTCTATAGCAAGCCACTACTGTACATACGTACAGTGACCCATTTGCAGATTGCTGAAGTAACGTTATGACTAACGTTGCATAATGGCCAGGCGCAGTGAGTAGTCCCGCTTGAATGATTCCCATCTTCATGATCGCTCCTTCCTTGCCTTGCGCATGATATGCTCAGCGGAAACGTGGATGTGTGGTGTCGTGTGTTGTCGTGCATATTGTACGCTGCAGGGGTACATATGTGCTCATGTGGCAACTTTTTGGAATCGATTAAGAGTACAGAAGAATAGATGGTTGAAGTTCATTATTACGCTTGTTTGAATAATGCCCGTATTCACATAACCAAAGGGCCATCATATACTACGGAGTAGCGACTACGCCTCCAAGACCGCTGTCGTCCAAAACGGTGGGTGACAAGGCATCTTGCACGTTAACTAGGAACGTGCAAGGAGGTGTGATTGGGCAGTACAAAGTTATCCTAAATAAGGGCGGGTCTGGATGCCACGAAAAATGGCATAAAATGGCCTCTTTTCGAAGAAAACTACGAAAAACTACCAGCATTGATTGGCCCATTTTGGACCTTTCTTAAAAACTGAAAAGGACAAAAATGGACTGCGAACAGTCAGTGCAAGCCACGCTTTAGGATTTCAAAATGAGTCACAAGTAAATCGACCCTCTCTGCGTCTGCTGCCAAATGTGCGATTTGATCGTGTACGTCATTTTGAGCATAATTTACAGTAGAACTACCAGGTAAGCTTACACTAGTAGAGGTGTGAGATGTGTAGGAGTAACGTTATTGCGTAAGTTGTTTGCTCTCAACTTCATGGCGTCGAAGCATGATTCCTAGCGCAAGATCGCCTTATCGACTCATATAAGGCAATGAGTGGTTAAGAGGAACTGCGCGTGTTGTAGAAGCTAATGTTTCTTCCTGCTGTGGGTTCTGAATTGTGAATGCTAATGGTAAATGACGATGGGCTAACGTAAACGGCCAATTCTTGCCCTCGGACCAATTCTTGACCTCTTTCAGTTTTCAATGTCAAGTATTTTAATTATACCCAATCAAATACCTACGCGGGAAGTGAATCAGCCGTGATTGGCTGAAGTACTATTAGGCGCGAAACTCGCACAAATTATCGAGTGGAATTCAACATCTGCAATTTCACTCATGACGGGCTGGCTACACACATGAGCAGCTCGTCGAAGCAACCGAGCGCGCGTTGCAAGGAGAGCGATAGACAGATCTCAGTCGCATCTACAATGTGCCATACCGTACGCTCAAGCTCTACATCAAGAAGATGAGATACACCAGCAGCATCGTTAATTGCAGTGACCGGTACGATGAAAATTGACAATGTTTAGTCCGATGGTACCTCCGCCGCAAGGTGGTCATAGTTTGAAGCTGGCGAAATGCTAGGGGATTATATGTATTACGAGTGAAGGATTAGCTTGGGGCCATAGGCAGAGCGAACTTTTTTGCTATTGGTCAATGGTTTCTCCTTAATATAATTACCTGTAAGCTATTATCAAAGTAGGTGCGGTTAGGTGTATATTAGCTTTGGCAATTGTTTTGAGCTCATATTAAAAATATTGTCCAACCCTCTCGTCACCCTTCAAATCCATACTGAAGTCAAGTTTAAAGAGGGCAAACAACTGGTCCGGCATATTTCAAAACTTTTGTGTTTGCTTCGGCATAACTACGTTAAAAATACTCCAAATTACGAGCAATTTGAACGACTGGATATAGCGTTCTTTCCTCTACTACTGGATAACTTCAGATTTTTGTAATTTTGCTTAGCCTATGAGATAAGGCCAAAATGCTAAGGGGTCGAAATGAGGGCAACAATTGGCCGTTTACGTTAATGGATTGGCCAATTTGATTTGATTTGCTGGTTTTGCTTGGCCAATCATCTCGACATAACATACAGTTTGTGCTTTTAACTAACTTTAGGGAATCGCTTTTGAAGTGGTTAACAGTAAACTGGGACGGAGTTATTACTACTGTAGTATACGTATAGTAGACAAGTCAAACCTGTCACGATTGTACTGTCGACAAGGAAGCAGAACGACTTGCTATGTACTTTAGCTACAATTGGATGTACTATTCATCAAACGCTGCTTGTTTATCCCGTGGAATGGTAGTAAATCGACCGTCAAACGATGCGTTTCGAATGTCCAAATCCGACAATGCCTCAATAAAGGTCTACAAGAAGGTGTCTACGCCTGCCACAACGAAGTTACTCCGGAGTAGTGGGATAGTGCACTCATATACTACATATTGCTGCAGTATAATAGTCATATAATTCGAACTGAGAAAAGGACTTCGGAATGTAAAAGAACTTCGATGCGACGACTGGTTGCTTGCTGTTAACTAATACTAGTAGTACTACTGTTAACTAATACTACTCTGGAGTAGAAAGTTCATGTCAAGCTTTCATTGGTTGAAAATCAAAATACTCGACTGTGATTGGCTGTGTAAGTTGAGGATGTGGGATACGTGCTTCGTACAATACAATGTACGTACCGTATAATACAATGTACGTACCGTACAATGTTAGATTCAGAAAAGGGGTGACGACCATCTCCTTTTTTGTCTCAAAAGGCAATCCTCCGGATAACTGGAAAGGCCAGACACTGGAGCATTTGTCACGTTACACCGCTATTTTTATTCCGGTATCCACTTTCACCTTGATATTTGTATGGGAATATTCACATTTTAAACAAATGCCAGGTGGATCATCGGTCGGACGTTCATTTTGCAAATCTACCAAGAAGTGAAGCTAAGAGATGGCCGGCAGTCACTCGACGGAAGGATGGGTGGACGTCCAGAAGAACACATTCACGCGTGTAAGTGTCACTCTATGAACATGGAGGAAGGGAATGTGCTCATGGAGCGAACATGTGTCTAGTGGGCAAACTCGCATCTGTCCAAGAAGCGCATGGAAATTGACGATCTGTACGAGGATCTCAAAGACGGCTTGCGCTTGATTGCGCTGTTGCAGATCATATCTCGTCAACCCATTGCCGCGGTAAGTGCTCTGGAATGAACATGCATGGCTTCATGAACGAGGGGGAGATGGGATACCGAACCAACCACATGCAACGCGTGATGGGTTTGTATATATGATGGACGTTGTGTGTGCGTAGAAATACAACCGCAACCCCAAAATGCGCATCCAAAAGCTAGAAAACCTCAACCTGATCTTTGGGTTCATGGCCAGGAACAACATGACGATCACCAACATTGGCTCGTCCGATATCGTCGACGGCAACAGCAAGCTCGTGTTGGGGTACGTACTCGCCCCTTCATCACTAACTCGACGAACTCACGTGATTCTTGCACATGTATGTGTAGGTTGATGTGGACGATCATTAAGAGCTACCAAGTCGGAGAGATCGCAGTCGACGGCGTGTCCGGCAAGGACGGCCTCCTCTTGTGGGTCAAGCGGTCGTTGACCGACTACCCCACCGTAGACGTGACCAACTTCACGTCGAGCTGGACCAACGGCATTGCGTTTTGTGCGCTGATCCACAAGCATTACCCGACGTTGTTGGACTTTGACAGTTTGTCCCCCAACGACGCCGTCGAAAACGTGTCTTTAGGTAACATCCAAACATCCCCAGTCAGTTTTGATTGTATGATGTGGCTTGTCGTGTACATCTAGCGTTTGGGTTGATGGAAGCCAAGTTTGGCATCCCGCAACTGCTCAATGTGGCCGACGTGGCCGGCAACCCCAAGCCCGACGACAAGTCCATCATGACCTACGTTTCGCTCTTGTTCCAGGTATTGTCTATCTTTTACCCAAAATTTGGCTGACTTTTGTGCTGATCCTTTGTTAAATCTGTCGATCGATTCTTTGTACTGAATTTTGTATGCAAAAAACGGGGCCCTGTGGTGATTGGTATCACACTAATTAAATTCATACACTAATTTGGCTGCTTGTTGATGGTTTCCTGCAATCTGATTGGCTAAATCCTACTGCCAATATGATTCTGGTGTACATTTGGTGTAGTGTCGATTATTCATTCTCCATGTCATTTCAGTTTAGAACAAAACACACAACAATACCGATTGGGTTATCCAACACTACTGCATCATACACCATCTCTGTGGCATATATATATATATTCACTGCATGCTTGTGATATTGAGACTTTTACCTCTGAATACGATACATAAACAAACGTCGACGCACGGTGTATATATTTTTTATTTATTGCTCTATGAACTGTATGATTTTTTAATAAAAATGTTGTAGGAATTTGCATCGGGGGTCCAAAAGAAGAAGGCGATCACGACCATCTGCAAGGCTGTGGCGATGGCCCAGCGCATTTCCGAGTGCAAAACCCAGTACGAAACTTCGGCGCCGACGCTCTTGGCCTGGTATGCCAACAAGTGCCAAGCATGGACGGCCCCGGACCAGACGGCGTCGTTAAAGTCAGGTATTTACATCTCATTCTACATGGTCTTATTTAAAAGTATAAATAATACATCATCTAATGCTAATGGTTGGGATTAGTCCAAGCATTGTTGCTCCAATTCAACGACTACAAGCGCAACGAACGTCCCCAATACGAAGCATCGTTTGTGGAACTGGAAAGTACGGAAATATATATATATATATTCGGATCTGCATCATTCATCAGTCCGTTCAATATATATATATATATATATTCGGATCTGCATCATTCATTGGTCCGTTCAATGCTATTTTTATCTATATATATGTTTTTCGGATGTGCCTTTGAAGCAGAACAGTCCTTGATATTTATTATATTATTGAATCATCCCTTTGATATTCTATTATATACCATCCACCTTGTCATCAAGAATATTATACTTATATATTCTCAAGAATACACATGTATATATACACAAACATGCTATGTCGTCGTCGGTAGGCGTGATGGGTCGTTGGGTGGCGAGTTGCAAGAACAATCATCGAGACGTGCCGACCTTGACGCCGTCGTTCGACTCGATTGCCCAACTGCGCAAACAATTGCAAGAGGTCGAAGTGCAGTACGAAACCGCTTGTCGGTCGCATGTATTGCAATGCCAGCAAACCGGTACACACATATATATCATCCATCGATCCTATTATATTTCTATTGGAAAAAAGCACTCTCTCACATCACATATCTATGATGAATAGATGCGATTTTGAACGCAGTGTTATTGGACTTGACCAAATTGGAGACGTGGTTGGACAAGGTGAATGTGGATTTTCCGCAGGATGAGTCGATCCAGCCATGCACCAACTCTGCCGACGCCGAACAAGCGCTGGAGGGTCTGCGCTTCTTCCACGAAGTTGAAGTGGGGCGGTACCAGCAGCTTCTCACGCGCGTCCATTTGGCAGTGGAAACCAAACTCGCAGGCCAAACCACCGCCGCGAGTGCGATCGCCCGTGTAAACGCGACGCAAATCGCGTTCACAGCCACGTTGGACCGCATGCAGGGCCTGCAAGTGCGTATGAAGGACACGCTAGAGTTCCAGCGTCATGTAGACGGCGTGGTCAAAGCGATGCGACTCACGACCCAGACGCTCAAGAACGACATGGAGTTGCTCGATGAGACGATTGACGCGCAAAACGTTCACGCGATTGTGCTCGACGACTCGACGGGTGACGAGGAAGCGGCGCTAGTAGCTATGAAGGCCGCGTTTGAGGCGGACGTGGCGCCCCTCGTGGAATCGACGGTCGTGTCTGTGTTTGCCGCGGAGCTTGAATCCAAGCGTGAGACGCTCGAACGGGCCCATCGAGACACGGAACTGCTGGCGCTCGATGCATTTGGCCGTCGAGTGGACGTGTTGAAGGCCAAAGTGGACGCCAAGCTGGCAGAATTGAATCAAGCCGTGACAGACGCCCAACGTCGCGTGTCGTTGAGCGTCGAGTTTGCCAAGGTGGCGACCAAGATGGTGGAGCTGGCGGCGGGGATTTCCACTCAGGTATTGTCGTCATTTACCCAAAATGTGGACTTTTGTGCTGATTCGCCAAATCTATCGTCGATCGATTTGTTGTACTGACTTTTGTATGTAAAGATCTCGTCTAGTAGTATCACACGAATTTTAGTCACTTTCTAATTCACTGTTGAATTGGTCAAAGAGTACATTTGATTGGCTACTTGATTCGTGATCTGGGTTTTGATTGGTCGGCCGATTGTCTGTCGATTTGATGATTCTGCTTATTCGATTGAGCACTCCACACTCCAATTTCGAATATCGACTTGATAACATCAGTCAGGTTATGAATATATAGAGTACAACTTTAAAGAGGATTATTTTGATATTGTGCCAAACAAACAATGTGGATCCATGCTTCTTATTTCAAAATACGCCTCTTTCAAGTTGGAGTGTATGTACGTACAGTAGTAGTACCTCGGGAGGATATGTATATGAATATATATATATATATATTAATTGGGATTGATAAAACGTAGATTAACGCGGCGGACGGGTCGTTGGACGAGCAATTGGCGGCGCTTGAATCGTTGGACGCTTTGCAAATGCACTCAAAGGATGACCCGACGCACTTGTGCTCCGTGATGGACGAGTTGGAAGGCGTCAACGAGTCGCTTGAGTCCCTTCGTGTATTTACAAACCCCCATACGACAGAAACCATCCAATCGTGTCGAGCGACATTTGCATCGCTACAACAGGCGCTGATGGAACGGCAGCAAGAGCTGGAGAAGGAGATCGCGATGGACAAGCTCGGACACATCACGCCGGCGCAGCTGAATGAAGTGAACGAAGTGTTCCACCATTTTGACCTCAACAAGGACGGCAAACTCGCGCGCGACGAGTTTATCATGGCATGCAAAGGCCTGGGCTTTGACATGACTGAAGACGCATGTCATGATGTGTTTGATAAGCTGGACACGGACAAGAGCGATGAAATCGACTTGCATGAGTTTAGCACGTTCTGCGCCGACCAGCTGCAGTCGGGGTCGACGCAAGCCGACGTCCACGCGGCGTTTGAGATCCTCGCGCGAGACATGGCCATTACCCAGGACAAATTGCACGAACACTTTGATGCGTCCATCATTGAATATTTGCTGGCGCATATGCCGCCGCTGGCCCCGTCGAAAGAAGACGAAGGCGACGAGGATCAACGTGGCCACAAGTACGACTACAATTCGTTTGCGGCCGCCTTGTTTCAGTAGGAAAAACAAAGGGCGAGTGATGATATATACAACAACAACATCAATGGAGTTGGTTTGGTTGCCTATATATATAT